AGTAAGTACCCTTAACCCATCTTAGTAAGTTTTTTTTTGTTTGGCTAGTTTTGTTTTGGAGGGGCGGTCTTTTTTCATATTTTATTTATTATTTTTATTTTATGTGTATGTGTGTATTGCCTGCGTGTAGGTAAGTGCACCCCTGTCATGCAACACCCATGGAGGTCAGACGAGGCTGTCGGATCCCCTGAAACTGGAGTTATGGACATTTGTTATCTGCCATGTGGGTGCTGGGATTTGAACCTGGGTCTTCTTCAAGTACAACCAGTTTTCTTAACTGCTGAGCCATCTCTCCAGTACTTTTTTTGGTCTTTTTGAGAAGGGGTCTCTCTGTAGCCCCAGCTGTCCTGGAACTCATTATGTAGACTAAGCTGGCCTTGAACTCACAGAGATCCGCCTGTCTCTGCCTCCCAAGTGCTGAGATTAAAGGTGTGTGCCACCACGCCCAACTCAAGTTTTGTTTTTTTAAGACAGGATCTCACTATGTAACCCTGACTGGCCTAGAACTCTCTATGCTGACCAGGCTGGTCTTGAACTCCCAAGTGCTGAGATTAAATGTGTATGCCACCAGGCCTGGCTTCCTAACCCATCTTAATCCAGTCCTTTCTTAACATTTTAAAGTTTCAGTTTCCCCCTCCTTAAATAGGAATGTTAATGGGATCTATTTCTCAAGGTTATTGTGATTTAGTAAGCTACTTAATGCATGGGAAAGTGTGGCCTGGCCAACACGGGAGCACATTCAACTTTTCTTCATATCATTATTATATCCAATGGGTTCCCTGAATTCCATTAGTAAAATTCCTGAGGACACAATCCTCACCTTCCACTGGAAAACTTTAGGGGCTCAAACAGTATGAACAATTGATATTTTTTGAGAACTCACAGCCCCAAGAGATTGGATATGTATGCTGCTTGGGCAAGCAAAATAAGTTCCCTCAGAGAGAGGTACAATTCTATTTTTTCCTGTTACACAAGGTGTCCCCTAGGGACTGTACCAATGCCTAAGCAGGAACCTCTTGTTGTTGAATTGATTATGGTTAAGTTTGTGGCTCCTACCCCTTTGTAGGTTATTTGGTTCACCTTTAAGCATATCCAGCAATCATTTCCCACATCAGGGTTGACTTGAGCTAGCAGCTTGTGGATGTTGTTTATGAACTTGAACAACTTTATTAGAGGGACAGCAGGGTCAAATTTAGATGGGCAACTACTGGTGGGGGGGTCTTTTGGTTTCAGGGCCAAGGGTTTAAAGTATTAACCTTGCTGACTAGAACAGTCAAGTTGACTGCTGTGATTATAAACCATAAATTTCTCATCCCCATGATCTACCAGCCCATCCCAAAGTTTCAGCTTCCCCATAGTGGGGGCTTTTCTATTCTTAATTCCCATATTATACCTCCTTGGTTCCTCCCCCACAACCTGTGACAACTTTAATCTCCTGCCCCAAAGTGGGGGCTCCCTGCCAAGCCGTCTTAGAGGTGAAGTCTGCACATGACCAGTATTTTAAGAAAGACCAGTAGTGGGGCTGGAGGGATGGCTCAGCAGTTAAGATCACTGACTGCTCTTGCAGAGGACCTGGGTTTGATTCCCCACACCCAGATGGAGGATAGCAGCTATCTGTAGCTCCAGTTCCAGGGGATCTGATGCCTTCTTCTGATCTCCATGGACATTGCATGACATGGATTCAAGCAGTTGGTTAATACACGAAAACACATCAATGTTCATAGCATCATTACTCAAAGTAAGCAAATGGTGGACCCTCAACTCAAGGGTCAACCAGCTGATGATTGGATAAACAAAATGTAGTGTATATTGACGATAGAATAGTTTCAGCCAGGGCTGGAAAGATGGCTCAGTGATTAAGAACACTGACTACTCTTACAGAGGACCAGGATTTGTTATGCTAAGTAAAATAAGCCAGACACAAAAAGACAAATAATGTATTTCTTTACTTCTAAGATGCAGGCACAAGAAACCAGGTATAGTGGTATACACCTGTAATCTCAGCACTCAGAAAGCTGAGGATTTCAAGTTTAGGGCAGCCTGAGCTACATAGTGAGACTGTCTTGAAAAGGGTTAAAAAGAAAGAAAGAAAGAAAGAAAGAAAGAAAGAAAAAGAAAGAAAGAAAAAGCATGTTCATAGAGACAGAAAGTAGATTACATGTTTCCAGAACTTGGAGGGGAGGGGAGAAGTGAGGAGTTACTACTTAATGACTCCATGAAGTGATGAAAAAAAAAATTTTTTTTTTTGGTTAGGTCTCCCAGCTGGCCTGGAACTCACTATGTAGACCAGGCTGGCTTTGAACTCACAGAGATCTGCCTGCCTCTGCCTCCCAAGTGCTGGGACTAAAGGAATATGCCACCAAACCCAGTCAATTGTTGTGACAAAACACTCTGACCAATACCAACTTGGGGAGAAGGCATTTATTTTATCTTATATCTTCCAGGTCACAGTTCATCACTGAGGGAGCCCAAGGTAGGAACTCAGGGCAGGAACCTGGAGGCAGAAGCTGAAGCAGAGGCCATGGAGGAACACTGCTCACTGGCTTGCTCTCCTGGCCCATGCTCAGCCTCCTTTCTCATACAATACAGGACAACTTGCCCAGGGGTGGCACCACCCACAGTGAAAATATCACCCAATCAAGAAAGTACCCATAGACATGGCCACACGCCAGTCCAATGGAGGCAATTCCCCAACTGAGGCGCCCTCTACCCAGGTGTGTCAGTGACAACTAAAGCTACCCAGCACAGCAAGTGCACCCGTGTCATGCTTAATACTCATGAAATGTATACTAATTTGATTTCTTTTTTAGTGAGTCTCATGTAGCTCAGGCTGGCCTCAAACAAATTCTCTATGTAGTTGAGGCTAGCCTGACCCTCCTGCATATGCCTCCTGACTGCTGGGATTTTAGGTATGCACCTTCATGCATGGCCTGAAATGTACACTTAAAAATGATTAAAGAAACTGGGCATGGTGGCACATACCTTTAATCCCATCAGTCAGGAGGCAGAAGCAGGTGGAACTCTGTGAGACTGAGGCCAGCCAGATTTAACAGCGAGTTCTAGGCCAGCTGGGCTGCAGGAAAACCCTGTCTTTAAATAAAAAAATTAAATTAAAAAAAAAAAAAAGAGCTAGAGAGACAGTTCAACCGTTAAGAGCACTGGGTGCTCTTGCAGAGCACCTGGATTTGATTCCCAGCACCCATATGGCAGCTAACCATCTGTAACTCCAGTTCCATGGGATCCGATGCCCTCTTCTGACCTCTGCAGGCATTGCATGACACGGGTGCACTTACAAGCATGTAAGCAATACACTCGTACACATAAAATAAAAATAATAAATAAAATATTTTTTTTTAAAAATGAAAGAACTGGGGCTAGAGAGATGTCTCAGTGGTTAAGAGCACTCACTGCTTCTGCGGAGGGCCTGGGTTCAATTCCCAGCATTCACATGGCAGCTAACAACTGTCTGTAACCCCAGTTTCAGGGAATCCAGTGTCCTCTTCTGACCTCCAAGGGCATTGCATGACAAGGGTGCACTTACACAGGCAAAACACTCAAATACATAAAATTAAAAAATAATAAATAAATAAAAAGTTTAAATATTTCATTTATTATTTTTATTTTATGTGAATGCATGTATTGTCTGGATGTAAGTAAGTGCACCCATGTCATGCAACACCCGTGGAGGTCAGACAAGACTGTCGGATCCCCTGAAACTGGAGTTACAGACAGTTGTTAGCTGCCATGTGGGTGCTGGGATTCGAACCTGGGTCTTCTGCAAGAACAACCAGTGTTCTTAACTGCTGAGCCATCTCTCCAGCCCCAATAAATAAAAATTTTTTAAAAAAGAAAGAACTGAGGCAAAGGCAGGTAGATCTTTGTGAGTTCAAAGCCAGACTGGTCTACATTGTAAGTTCAGGCCATCTGAACTCCAGGGAGACCCTGTCTCAAAAAGACCAAAAATTAATTAATTAATTAAAATAAAATAATAAAAAGAAAGAACCAACCAGAGAGATAGTTCAGTAGGTAAAAGCGTTGACCACACAAGCCTGACAATTCCCAGGGCCCACATAGTGGAAGACGGCTTAAACAAACTGAGTTCCAGGACAGCTGGGGCTACCGGGAGACATTATCTCAAAAAGACCAAAAAAGAAAGAAAGAAAGAAAGAAAGAAAGAAAGAAAGAAAGAAAGAAAGAAAGAAAGAAAGAGAAAATTGTAAAATAATAAACATTTAAAATACCCCTTCATAAATATATTTTGTTTTACATACTAGCTAAATTTTTTGAGTGATGCATCTTATGTTTTATATGTATTAACATAATAAAAGGATTTTTTTTTTCCAGAAAAGGTTAAGTAGCCCACTCAAGGCCATATAGCTACAAAGCGGCCAAGCTAGAATTTGAACAGAAGCATCCCTGGCTCTTGAGCAGATGCTCTGAATACCTGGGCAGCAACCCAGAACTTAGGACATCTGGGTTCTTGCCGTCACTGTCTTGAGTGGCCTTATACAGACTGACCTTTCAAGATCTCATTCTTCTCAGCTAGAAAATGATAAGACTGAGGAGATATCTTTGACAGGTGCTGCTAGCTCTAACCAGCTGCCACTGTTGTCTCTACATTGACTTCATAGCATGCAAACTCTGAAACCTTGATCTCATCCTGATATTGCCTCTGGCATACTCTGGGATGATCCACATGATCTATAGCCAGGAGACCCAGAAAAGTGACCCCTGGGGAACTGACTGCCTCTTAACAAGCTCCTCCTCTAGGGGTTTGCCTTGGAGTTGAGCCAGCCCTTGAAGAGGTCACATTCCCTCTCTTTTTCCCTTTCTGGGTGAGGACTCAAGCTTGGCTTCCCTCCAGGATAAATTTCCACAAGCCAAGAGATAACAAACTTCAAGGTGATGATCAGGAAGGCCCTTTAAAAGCTCTCCATATTCTCTAGAGTCGCTGAAGCTTTCCCACCCCAGAGTTGGCCATCTACCTGCTCCCAGCAGCCATGTGGGAACTTGTGGGTCTCTTGCTGCTCATCCTAGCCTATATATTTTGGTCTAATTCAAAGTTCTCTGGTGCTAAGTTCCCCAAGAGCCTCCCATTCTTGCCCGTGGTGGGCAGCCTGCCATTTCTCCCCAGACATGGCCATTTGCATGTCAACTTATTCAAGCTGCAGAAAAAATATGGCCCCATCTATTCTCTTCGTCTGGGTACCACAACTACAGTGATCATCGGTCACTATCAGCTGGCCAAGGAAGTCCTTATCAAGAAGGGCAAGGAGTTCTCCGGGCGGCCCCAGATGGTAAGCAATGCCCATCTCTCTCTCCTCATCACCCCCTGGTCTTGTGCAGTTCTTAATTCTTCCAAAATCAGACTAGTGGGGTGACCCCTCAGACCCTACCCAACCTCTAAACTGAGAAGTAGGAATTATGGGAGACTTCTTTAAATTTTTATTATTTTTATTTTTATGTGTATGAGTGTATTGCCTGTGTGTATGCACATCCATGTCATGCAATGCCCATGGAGGTCAGAAGAGAACATCAAATTCCCCTAGAACTGGAGTTATGGATGGTTGTTAGCTGCTATGTGAGTGCTGGGACTTGAACCCGGGTCCTCTGCAAGAACAGTCAGTGCTCTTAACTGCTGAGCCATTTCTCCAGCCACTAAGGAAGACCTCTTGATGTTCACTAAGCAAAGAGACCTGAGGTTCAGGAGCCCACACCTCACTTACTTTGCCCCTATGGCAGATTCTAATCATTCTAGAATGTGCAGGTAAAGCCCTTAACTTAGACTCATAACAGTTCTCCATACAAAGCCAGTGTGACTGTTGCTCTTATTGGAACATGGGGCCAGTGACTAGGTCCTCCATGGGAAGGGGCTGGGAGAAGCATCTGTGCTCTTGGAGGGCTAAGACTGCTGTTTCCTGGATTCTGTAGATTTGGCTCACATCAGGTTGAGGAGGCTGCCACTAGAGGGGAAGACAGAAAACAGTGCATACAGTAGTATCTCAGGGCTTCTCCAGACACCACTGTGCTTCTAACACTGTTGAGTAGCCATCCCAATGCCCCCATCCCAGCACCCTGCTTTCTAGTGTCTCCCTGAGCACCCCAATAGAGCATTCCCAAACTCAGTTTTGATCAGGCCAAGATTGGCTCATTTTCCTGGGACAAGTCAGTCAGATTGGCTGACTAGCCAGATCACTTGACTTTTGGGTTCCTTTTAGAAACAAAAAAGAATGAAAGGGTCTGGTCAGGTGGGATTTTTTTTTTTTTTTTTTGGATCAAGGGATGGAAGAAGGAGACTTTGGACCCTTGTGCTTTTGGGAGTGACATTGGAAGGAGGCAGCTCAAGTCCAACCTGGTGGAGAGGGCATATACACTCTGCAGATGTAGGTTTGTGGCTAGGTGCACGGCTAGCAGTGGAAAAGCCAAGAAAATGGGACATGTTCTGTGGCCTTTAGCAGCCTGGAGGTGAGGTGGGGTGACTGGAAAAGCAAACCTGACCGGGAATCCTCTTAGTATCCCTGCCTGGGGACAAGGACACACAGCCAACCCCAGCCACAGCTGCCTCACTGGGTCAGGATCTGATGAAGAAAGATCCAGAGTGTACCTTACTAACAAACCCCAGGACTCCTGCATTCAAAGTTCAGGGTTCTTTCTTTCTCCTCACTGGCTCTCATGGAATTGGGAGTAGAGGGCTTTAGCAGGGATGTCCCACGTGGGGTTCAGAACAGCAGGTATGGAGGAAGCTGGGGAGATGGGGGTTGCCTAGTGATTCCTACAGCCTTGTCTTCTCTCCAAAGGTGACTCTCAGCCTGCTGTCGGACCAGGGAAAAGGCATTGCCTTTGCCGACTCCGGTGCCCATTGGCAGCAGCATCGGAAACTGGTGCTGGGTACCTTCTCCCTGTTCAGGGATGGTGACCTGAAGCTGGAGAAGATCAGTGAGTGAGGGGCTGGCCCTAAGGCTGGAACTGATTCCTACCTGGCTGGGGATGGGGAAAGGGTGGTGGATGGCTCCATCCAGCCATTTCTTGGAGGCTTCTGCCATCTAGTGGCCATTCTCGATGTATGCCCTGCCCTGGCTGAGCTGGCGCTGGTGGAGGGGGTGAAGGCACTGATGGGTTCCTCCACCTCTTCCCTCTCTCCCCTTAGTATGTCGGGAGGTCAGCGCACTGTGCGATTTGCTGCTTACCTACAACGAGAAGTCCTTAGATCTGGCCCTGCCTGTCTTTATGTCAATTATCAACGTCATCTGCTCCATCTGCTTCAACATCTCTTACAAGAATGGGGACCCAAAATTGACCACCATAAAGACCTTTACGGAGGGCATCCTGGATAATTTGGGCAGCGAAAATCTAGTGGACATATTCCCATGGTTGACGGTAAAGATGAAGCCATGTCCCCACTTTCAGATCCTACCCAGAAAGGGTCCCCAATTCTTCCAGCTCCACAATCATCTTTCCTGACCAACTCAACCTACAGCGAGCAATATCTGCTCTGTCTCTTAGAATCTTGGACACACCTCTGGCTTTTTTTTTTTTTCCAAGGAAGGATCTTATGAAGCCCAGGCTGGCCTCAGACTCACTATGGAACAGAGGATGACCTTGAAATTCTGATTCCCCTGCCTCCAGGTTCCAAGTGCTAGGATTACAGGCATGTACTACCATGCCTGGATGGGTCTAGTTTTTGTTTCTTTGTTTCTTTGTTTAATTTTATTTTCTTATGAGTGTTTTGCTTGCATGCATGTATGTAAACTCACCACATATATTCCTAGTGTGTGGAGGCCAGAAGAGGGTGTGGGGTCCCCTGGAACTGGAGTTACAGATGATTGTGAACTCCCATGTAGGTGTTGAGAACTGGACCCAGGTCTTCTGCAAGAATAGCAAGTGCTCTTAATCCCTGAACCATTTCTCTAGCCTCTTGGTCTAGTTTTTTTGTTTTGGGGTTTTTTATGTGTATGAGTGTTATTTTTACATGTAGGTACGTGCACCCATGTCATGCAATGCCGAGGAGGACGGAGGCTGTCAACTCCCCTAGAACTGGAGTTTCAGACAGTTGTTAGCTGCCATGAAGAACCAGTTGTTCCTCTGCAAGAACAACCAGTGTTCTTAACTGCTGAGCCATCTCTCCAGTCCCTTTGTTTTGTTTTGTTGTTTTTGGGACAGGGTCTCCCTATAGCCCCAGCTGTCCTGGAACTCACAATGTAGACCAGGCTGACCTTGAACTCACAGAGATCCACCTGACTTTGCCTCCCAAGTAAGGATTTTTTTTTTTTTTTTTTGGTCTTTTTGAGACAGGGTTTCCCTGTAGCCCCAGCTGTCCTGGAACTCACTATGTAGACCAGGCTGGCCTTGAACTCACAGATATCTGCCTGCCTCTGCCTCCTGAGTGCTGGAATTAAAGGCGTGTGCCACCATGCCCAGCTAGCCAAGTGAGGATTTTTAATAATCTATCTTAATACTCACAATAGTAGATCTTACTTATTTTTCGATTGTTATGTGATAGCATTAAACATTAGTGTTAATCATTGAATTCCCCTTGGAGGTATGTTAAATTAGTCCCTTTGTACAGATAAGAAAATAGGCTTAACCAAGTTAAGGAATTTGCCCAAATCTTAAGGCTTAAGTCTGTCTTACACGTAGGTATGGGCACACGTAAATCAGGGCTTGGTGTTGGATTGATTAGGGAAGAGTGCAGTTGTCCTGTGCCCATGACAATCCCATTCTGCATTTACCATCTTGCCTTCCATATATATGGCTAAAGGTCCAGGTTGGTGTGGGGACAGAAAACCAGGATCTGCCCCAAGAAGGATTCTCTCAGCTGGATTGGCTAGAAAAGTAGATTTGACATTTCTTTCTGTTTCCCAGATTTTCCCCAATAAAGCCCTGGAAATGATAAAGAGGTATGTTAAAATGCGAGATGAAGTGCTGACTGAACTACTGGAAAAACGCAAGGTAGGTGACAGAACAGATGAGAATATGTGTGAGGCTGGAGGTGTGGTGAGAGGGAGACCGAGGTACATTGTGGACACTGTGATCTCCAGAGCCTAGCAGAGAGCCTACATAATAGGTGCCACACAGAAACTGACCTATTCATGAGTGGCAAAGTAAGAAATTGAAGTCCCTAAAAAGGACACAGAAAAGGACTCAGGGATATCTCCTGCCTCCACAAGGTCACAGGCCCTGCCCAATCCCCTTCCACCCCCAAACCCAAGGAGCCTTGCTGTCTTTAGTCTAGGGCAGAGTGTGGCAGGGATGTTGGCAGGTGGGACTCCTTCCTCATCACTATCTCTCACCTCTCAACCCAGGAGAAATTCAGCAGTGACTCTATCACCAACCTGATGGACGTGCTGATACAAGCCAAGATGAATGCAGACAACAACAATGCCAGTCCAGACCAGAATTCAAATATGTTTTCAGATAAGCACATCCTTGCCACAATAGCAGATATCTTTGGGGCCGGTGTGGAGACCACCACCTCTGTGGTGAGTTGGATTGTGGCCTTCCTGCTGCACAATCCTCAGGTGAGTGTCTCTTCAATCTTAAATTCCTGTTGAACTCAGCCAGCCCTACCTCCATGTCAGAGGAGAGACAGACAGACAGACAGACAGATGGGGGGATATTCCTGGAAGCCTTCTGTGCAGAAAACTTAGGCTTGCTCTGCCCCTCACCCAGGCAGTGGCTGATTCTGGCCCTGGGTTAAAACTGTGCTATCTTCTAGAAGCAGGGTCCACTGGGTAGAGTTTGTCCAGGTTCTCCTAGATATGACCACTGGGTTCTGCAAGCTTTGTTTCTCTTAGGCTTGAACAACCTAATCATATGCACCTTCCTCTGGTCCTCAGGTGAAGATGAAGATTCAAAAGGAGATTGACCATAATATAGGTTTCAACCGTACCCCAACTTTCAATGATCGGACTCACCTCCTCATGCTGGAGGCCACCATCCGAGAGGTGCTTCGCATCAGGCCAGTGGCCCCCATGCTCATCCCCCACAAGGCTAACATTGACTCCAGGTGTGTCTTCCCTCCCAAGACAGCCAGTCCAGGATGCAGCCAGCTCTGCTAGGCAGCCCATTTGTGCCTCATTCAGGTCTCCCCACTGCCCTCAGCCTGCTGGTCAACCTGTAGTCAAATGATGACTACTGTCAATCATCCTACCCTTGGCCCTTCTCACCACAGCATCCACCACTACTGATACTCATTGACTAAACTGCAGGGCCACCTAGCTCCCCTCCAAGGATTCCTGCTGCACTTGGAGACATGGGTCTGGGATGAAAGACTGGGTACACTATGTTCCTACTTCAACAGACAGCTGCAGTACACACATACACATGCACCAACTTCTGATAAGGCACAGGTGTCCATGTGCACATGGTTGATATGCAAGTGCCTGACCAGAGGATAAGGCTGGATTCAGATGTGCTCCTAGTAGAGACCAGAGCTGAAGAAAAGAGGACTGAGTGGGAATGGAGGCATGGGGCTAAGCAGGAAGGGGAAGGGAATGCTCCAAGCCTACTTTTCTTCTCCTTTTCTGGGTCAGCATTGGCGAGTTTACCATCCCCAAGGACACACATGTGGTCATCAACCTGTGGGCACTGCATCACAATGAGAAAGAGTGGAAGCAACCAGATCAGTTCATGCCCGGTGAGTTCCTGTCCTGTCCCATCCTGGTCCCTGGACCACACAGCCAATCTGGATTCTGCTCTAACATGCCAGCACTTTCACTTCCACCAAGCTTGCTATTAGAAAACTCTTGGCTGTATCCCCTTAAGCCTGTTGCCACCTCCTTCCTCCTGGAGACTACCTTAATTTCTTCACAGCTGGGGTTCCCATCTCTTCAAATTCCCTTCCCTGAGAAGTCAGCAGGCATCTGTTTCCTAGGAAGCTTGCCCATCTTTTCTTGAATGGTGGCGTTTTCTCCTGTTGCTATCTCTTCTTCCCTCCCCGTTTCCGAAAATTTCCTCAGTGTCGAGCAAGTCTACCTGAAAGTAGGAAAGGGGGTTCCCTGGGCAGGGCCACATCCCCTCATTAGCCAAGGCAGATGCCTGACTCTACATGCCCTGGCCTCTGGCTGATGCTTTCCCTTTGTCTCCAGAACGCTTCTTGGATCCAACAGGGAGCCACATCATCAATCCTTCCTTGAGCTACTTGCCTTTCGGGGCCGGTCCCCGCTCCTGTGTAGGGGAAGTCCTGGCCCGCCAGGAGCTCTTCCTCATCATGGCCTGGTTGCTGCAGAGATTTGACTTAGATGTGCCAGATGATGGGCAGCTGCCCTGCCTGACGGGTGACCCCAAGGTGGTCTTTCTGATCAACCCATTCAAAGTGAAGCTTAAGGTGCGCCAGGCCTGGAAGGATGCCCAGGCTGAGGTTAATGCCTAGAAGCCATACCTAACATGCCCTGACTCCATGCTGTGTGGCCCACAGCACAAATCAGAGGTGCTATTCCCACTACCCTCCACATCTCCTTCCTTCTAGCCCATTTTCTAGTTTGTAGCAATGGCAGGTGATGTGCATAAAATAAAGATTTCCTGCAAAAAGTCCCTGAGCTGCCCATCATTTATTCATTGCTCACTTATTCAGTCAACAAACATTTTTATTTACTTATTTTTTTACATTTATTTATTTATTTTGTGAGAGGGATGCATGGGTGCTGTGGTGTGCATGTGGAGGCCAGAGGACAACTTGCAGGAGTTGATTCTGTCCTTCTACTATGAGATGTAACTCAGGTCTTCAGATTTCAAACTCAGAAATTCTTTGAAGTCAACAATACTGGGCTGAAATGGGAAGAGGCCACTTGAATCAAGGAGTCTTAGGGATAGGAGTGAAGATGTGGGAAAAGTGATGCCTACCAAGGGAGGAGCAGGTGAAATGATCTCAAGGTGGCTAGGTCAGCATGGCTAGTACACAGCAAATGGATGGGAAAATGGCCGCCGATGGGGCCAGGGTGGACAGGCCAGCTCTCCTATGAGGCCTTTGTAGGGAGCAAGGAGTTTAGGTGTCTAGCCCAGATAAGAGGAAGTCACTGAGGGGCTGGTTTTGTAAATATGTGAGTAGAATAATCTGACTAGATTTTGGTTTTATTTTGAGACAGGGTCTTGTATAGCTCAAGCTGGTCTTGAACTTGCTGTGTGGTTGAAGCTGACCTTAAGTTTATCCTCCTCCTTGCAGCCCCCAAATGCTGAGATTTCAGGCAGACCAGGCTAGCTTTGAACTCACAGAGAACTGCCTGCCTCTGCTGGGACTAAAGACGAGACTGTGCCACCGCGCCCAGTTTGACTGTTTTTTTTGTTTGTTTGTTTTTTGTTTTTGTTTTTCATCTTTTTGAGACAGGGTCTCCCTGTAGCCCAAGCTGTCCTGGAACTCTATGTAGACCAGGCTGGCCTTGAACTCACAGAGATCTGCCTGCCTCTGCCTCCCAAGTGCTGGGACTATAGGCATGCACCACCATGCCTGGCTTTGACTGGTTTTTGTTTTGTTTTGTTTTGGTCTTTTTGAAGCAGGGTCTCCCTGTGGCCCCAGCTGTCCTGGAACTCTATGTAGACCAGGCTGGCCTTGAACTCACGGAGATCCGCCTGCCTCTGCCTCCCAAGTGCTGGGATTAAAGGCGTGCGCTACCATGTCTGGCCTTGACTGATATTTTTTAAAGTTCCCTCCAGGCCTGGAGAGATGATGGCTCAGTGGATAAGAGTACTGGTTGCTCCAACAAGGTATCTGGGTTTGGTTCCCAGCACCTACATGGTAGCTCACAACCATCTGTAACTCTAGTTCTGGACTCCCTGGACATTACATACATGTGATACACTTACATACATCAGGCAAAGCATTCATATGAGTCTCTGCCAAAAACAAACAAACAAACAAAAATAAGGGGCTGAAGAGATGGCTCAGTGGTTAAAAGCACTGGCTGCTCTTGCAGAGGACCTTGGGTTCGGTTCCCAGCATCCACATGGTGGTTAACAACCATTGTAACTCCAACTACCCCCCTCTTGTGACCTCTGCAGGCATTGCATGCATGGGTGCACTTATATACATGCAGGCAATACACTTATACACATAAAATAAAAATAATAAAAAATTTTTTTAAATAATAATTTTTTTTTTAAAGCTCCCTCTAGTTGCTTCACAGAGAATGGGCTGAGCAGGGAGGAACAATTAGAAAGGAGGCTGCTGTGCTGGCCTGGGAAAGGGACATAGTGAGGGCCAAGGGCATGACCACAACAGGGCAAATATGAGGGTTTTTAAAAACATTTTTTTATTTTTTATGTGTATGCGTGTATTGCCTGCATATAGGTAAATGCATCCGTGTCATGCAATGCCTACGGAAAACAGAAGAGGCTGTCAGATCCCCTGGAACTGGAGTTATGGATAGTTGTTAGCTGCTATGTGGATGCTGGGATTCGAACCCAGGTCTTCTGTAAGAACAACCAGTGTTCTTAACCACCGAGCCATCTCTCCAGCCCCATTTATGAGTTTCTTTTTGGAAAATAGGACAGCAGATCTTGTTTACCTTCACCCCCATAGCCTTTGCTGCATGCGCTTTACAGGTTTGGCTTTACAGATATGTGTAACCCACAGACTAGGTCAATCACAGCAATGCCATCTTGGTCCTCAAAGACAGGCATAGCCCGTCTCCCTCCTCCTTCCTTGGATGGAACATCATCAGGAAAGGGCTTCTACAGCTGCCTTCTGCAGCAGCACCTGGATTCTGCCCCCTTTCATCACTCAAACACCCCAGGAAGTCCAAAATGCCTCCTCACTAGAAGATGGAGCCCAGAATACTTTGAAGCTCAAAACTAGCATTGTGTGTGTGTGTGTGTGTGTGTGTGTGTGTTGAGTGCAGGTACATGTCACAGTACATGTCAGAGTACATGTATGAAGGATACTTTGTTTGAGGCAGGATCTCTTTTGGTGTTAGCTTGTATGCTAGACTGGCTGGCCCATGAGTGCCAGGTCATTCTCCTGTTTCCACCTCCTGTTTCTCAGACACATGTACTACTGGATCTAGCTTTTACTTCATTCTCCTGTTTCCACCTCCTGTTTCTCAGACACATGTACTACTGGATCCAGCTTTTACTCAAGGTCTGGAGATCTGGACTCAGATCATCAGGCTTTA